TAGGGCTTGTCTCACGCCGCTGGCGCGGCTCGCCTTCCTCGTCATCCCGTCCGGGAAAAGGAGTGTCAGACTCGTAGTCGACCTCCTCCACATCCTCAACGAGGTCACTCGTCGCTGATAGCATGCGCGAAGCGCGACGCTCGGGCTCATCGAGCCTAGGATTTACATCTCTTGATGCCGTGAACGCACTGTCCGACATTGCACCGCGTGCAGAAGACGAAGTTGCGCTCTGCCTGTGTGCGCTGTCAGAACCAGCGAGACTTGGTGACATCAGTGTCGTTGCCAAAGGGCTCATTAAGCACGGAAGAGGTTTTGTTCCAACGAACCAAGTTGCAGTGTCTAGCGGACACGCAAGCTTCGTTGAGGCAATAATCGATCGGATCTGTAAGTGGTCTCAATCTTAATGGGGGAGAAGGTAACGGGGTTACACATACCCTGGTAACAGGGGGGTCACACCAGATGGGCATGGTGTGAACACACCCAAACAAGAATACGGTACGGGGCGGGGTAGCTAGTAGTTATACATGTATTTAGATTTAACTATACATATTTAGGGAAATCTATGTATTTACAATTAGGCGGCTTTGCCGCAGAAAAAATGAATATAGTCAGTTTTGAATTTAATCGAGGAAGTTAATCAGCCTTGGGTTAAGGCTATAATTACTCTTGGAGTAAGCGGGTTGCGATCCGCTAAACTCGAATTTGTTCTGAGTATAAAACAAGAGGTCTTGTCGGTGACCTAACATACGCTTCCTCAAAGCTATGGCAGCCCCGCCTAAATTCGAGTTCAAGCGAAACATGTCGTCTCAATACGAGCACATGCTTATACGTATTACATGATGATGTAATGACCTCGATGCCACTATGAGCTTGCTGAGCGGTTTACGTAACGAGCTTGCCGTGGGAACGTCGACTATAAGAGCTGTTTTGACAAACGTACAGAAAATAGGGTTGTGCGCTCCTGCGTGGCTCAAGGAGTGCAGCTTGTTCTACCACAAACGCTTTCGTCTCGCAGGCTTTTGTCCAAATTATCTTGTCGTGGTTTTGGTTTTAAAACAGGGCAATATCAACAAAGTGAAATCGCTAACTCCCACATAATTGTAAGCCTTCTACTTGACCAAATATCGCAAACTGCATAAACGTACACGAAATGTCACGAAAATCACTGCTTGCTGATCAAGCAGCGCCGATAGAGGTCAATCCTCGGCGGCTGACTTGTGAGCTCTCTCGGTTGTGGTAGCACGTAGACTCTCTCCAGGAGTCATGGCGTGCATCCGTATCTGAGATATACCAGATCTCAGTTTTGCTGTCTAGGTTTCGCCATCACGTCACTAGGCCTGAAGCAACACCAGAGTCTCGCTGCTTCAGAGAAAAGAGCACCCCCTGCTACAGAGGAAGGTAGGGACATTTTTCTGTCTACACTAAATATTCACGTCCGGCTGATTTGCACAAGTGCGATCGTTGTATAGCTGCAGTAAACCTAGTTAGAACACATAGTGTAATCGCAATTTTGTTACGATAGCGAAAATAAAACTCAATCTCTTCTTAGCTACAACTGTGAGCGGTTCGATGTAGCGTAGTAGCAACTTATCTTCATAGACCGCAAAGAGTGTATATGATGATAATAATTTGCAATTAGTAAAAGTTTTGGTCCTCAAAATATTCGTCTGGTATTAGCCTGCCTCTGCTATCAGCGTGTTGCTGTTTGTCAGGACTTTCAACCATCGCGTCGCGAGGCCTGTGCATGACGCTCAATCCCATCGAGTTAAATTCATATATATCGCGCTAGAGTGTAGCTAGGCTTATAAATCATAAATGTAGAAATGTGTAAAGCCTGTAGATGCATGTACTGTGAATTTCAGCGCAAACTCAATGAGTGAAAGCAAAATTCACCAACACTGCGGTCTCTCCACGCAAGTGCTTCAGCAAAATTCGGTCACAACGCACCTCACACGCTCCCAATTGCTATCTACTTGTGAACTGTATGTCCAATCTAATGTCAAGCACATTTAACAGTGTTTGCCAATTCTGTGCTGATTTCGATTCACAAAAATGGCTACCGGTAAGCTATGTTTGCATAATCATTCAGTTATGGAGTAGCGTGGACGTACCCTCACCGATCACACTATTGCTGACAGCTGCATGGTGGCTCTTATTGTCCAGACGGTCCACAAAGATCATGATTTTGGTATCACAAGAATTGTTTATTGGAAGAACGAAATTGAATTGGACTGCCATATTCTGCCAGAATTGGTAAGCTGTCAAAAGAGACCGCCGCATGCACGGTCCGTCAACTAGCGCGTATTCATATTGGGTTACCTATACATTGCGCAAAGTGAGCAGTATTTCTTCTCATCTAATGTTGGTACCTGGCGACCTCACCGTGAGGAACCAAAACACGCTGAGTGTCACATGACAAATCTAGCGGTGCAGACGTGCAATCGCGTGCTTCGACAAGCAGTGCTTATTTTCCCCGATTGCGAAAAGCTTCCGGGAACTCAGCTTATTTGGCGTCTGGCCAGTACGTCTTACATATCGCCTTATCAATTGGTGACGTCGCTATTGGACGCACGACAACTCATTGAAGAGGCGACGCAAGATACATTATGTGTCGACCTAGTTTATAGCGGACCTCAAATATATATACGGCAAAGAATACTTACCACATTGTAATTTTCTGATCGAGATGTGGTCATGGGGCCGCTGGGCGCAATGAAGCATGATCTGTATTGCTCAGAGCCAAACAGGTGCATCCTAAAGTTGACTAGGGCATGCAATTTTGCATGTATCCCTTTGTCATGAATATAATCGCTCTTTTTATAAGTTTTTTGCTGGCAAGATTCAAACGCGGTCACTCTCATTGGCGTCTGCTTGGAACGAAAAACAACATATGAATAAACTGAACATCACAGGAGACATAAAGTGGCTAACCAGTGTTTGATGAAGACAGAATTGAGAAATACATTAGAATTGCTCTCACAGCCCTTTATGCCGCCTCTTCTACCAGATTCAACATTACTTGGCATGTATTATATTGAGTTTGATGAAGCATCATGCAATGTCGGCATAGTTTGCACTCTGCTTTTAAAATCGGTGGTCTGACCAAGCCATTTTGTCAGATCCTTTTGGGACGGAAGCTTTGGCCAATCAACTATGTCCTATGTCCTCGCGCATTCTCCACGCAAGTCTCACTAAACAAGCAGCGCAAGAAATTGATCTCAGTGGTGTCAAAGTCACAAATGTATATTGGCGAAAAGCACTTTCAATCACAA